TATATTATAAAGTATACAAGATCAGGTAATAAACACATATTGGTATAGTTTGTGTTTCATGTTTAAAATTGTCAATGCATTATAGTGCCTGCTAAGCATCCATATAGATTCTCAGAAAAGAATTTAGGGCTCTTGTATTGGTGGCACATGGATTTGAATACCATGCGGCAGAAATGATGTCACCTGTCAGTGAATGGGGTAGTTTCCACCATGAGATTCTAATTAAGAATTTATTCTTTTGTCAATATTTGAAAGAAACACATTATGCTTCTATTTAACCACATTGATCACAATCTACTTTATTAAAGAAAACATTCGGAGGTAAAGCATGGCCACCAAAGGATGACAGCATCTTTTAGAGCCCCCATGATGGCAGATGCCACTTTTGTAAAATAAATCATTTTCCTCCAAAGGGGATGGATCTAATGCAATGATTTTTCCAGTTATGCTTAAAGCCAAAGCCTCTCATGATCCCTGGAAAATGTTCAACAATGTTCTGAATATAAGAGATGAAAAAAGTAAGATTTATATAGCACCAAATGTTGGACATAAATAATCTCAAAAATTGACATCATGAAAATAATGAGTAATAACACCAACTTAAAGAATTTTATTACTTTATAAACAGTTTTAATGTATGTTATCTCATCTGTGGTAGCTCATTCTGGTAGTTACTGCCAAGGGAAACTACTGCCAAAACCAGTGCATGACTTCAGAAGCAACACTGAGGCATGAGGGAAAGCAGGAGAATTGTAGGGCTGGAAATAAGGAAAATGCCAGATTTGTGGAACAATATGTAGATCTAGGTCAAATATACATATACATATATAAGTTAGATTAGTCAGATGTAAAGAAGACTTCATAGGTTCTGGGATAATTCAAGTCTTGGTGTAAAACATAGTAGTTAAAAAGTAATCAGAATTTGCTGTTTGGGGGAATTGGTGGCTATTCTGGCATTGCCCATCATGATGGAGTGATTCATAAATAAGAGTTGTGGGGTAGGTGTGAGGTGGAGGGGGAAAATGGTGGGGAAATGTTATCTTTGTTGATATCTGAGTAATTAACTATTAAAATAAGATACTGTTACATGTAATTACATTGAAAAATTGGCTTTCACTATGAAAAGCAGTCATATATTCATTAATATTTGAAATCAACAATATTTAATAAACCTTTAATATCTTAATATTGAATCAATTGGCAAGCATATCTTTTTTGAACAAAAACTAGTGCCAAAAGCAATATAAAGTGAAGTATTATATAAGAAAGAAAATAGAAGTCATGACCCCTAACTTCAAAGCATTTATAGTCTAGCCATGAAACAAGCCTATTACCCATGAAATAAGAGTGAACAACAAAAGAGTGCTGGGGTGAAAAAATAATAATTGTTACAGAAAATTTAAGCTCCTTCAGAGTAAGAGCCATGTCTTAATCATGTTAGTATTGCTGCCCTAAGGGTATGTATTTGGGAGTAGATAATAAATAAGGTAAATCAGGGACCATGAAGAGGTCTATAGACTTAGTGTTATAGAAAATAGGAAGCTGTTGAATGTTTTGACAAGAAGAATGAAATAATAAAGGTACTGTTTAAAGAAGGTTGGTGTGGAAGGGCAATGATCTTGTGTAGCACTGGGTACAAGGGACAGTAGAGGGATTGAGATCAGAGGCATTGGGAGGTCTGGGCAAGGGTTTGCCTGTACACATTAAGAAAAATGTGGGCTCCACATCCATTGTGAAGAAACTGCTTCCGAAAATGCTGAAGGGTCATAGAGAAAATAAAGGAGCCAAAGAAAATGTGTTCTAAGCCTAGATAAATGTTTACTACTAATGCAGATGAGCTCAGTGCAAAGGGGATGCAGCTTGGGAGATTTCACTTCTGAGATGACACAGAGACATACCAGAACAAATGATTAATTCGAACTTCAAGATATAGGATGAGATAATGAAGAGAATGAATACAAGGATAGACCTGTGTATTATGTAGGCCTGGAAGTAAAAACCAAAGCCATTAACTGTCTCATTTGTGTACTCATTTAACATATATTTACTGAGTTCCTCCATGTTATAGCAATTGTTATAATGGAAACAGAGTTATAAAAATAGGAGATAGTACCCTTGCTCTCATAGAATATTCTGATGAGATAAAAAACAAAAAAATTATAGTATGCTACATGTTTGTAAGTTCTATGGGGAACATTAAATTAGGGTCAGAGAAAAGGATTGTGAATGGAAATGGTGAGGAGGGATTGTTTGCTTGTTTTTAAGAGAGATTAGGAAACACCTACCTTAAAAGGTGGAATTTATCATTTGCAACAGCATGGATGGACCTGGAGAGCATTATGCTAAGCTAAATAAGCCAGTCAGAGAATAAATATCACATGATCTCACTCATTTGTGAAATATAATGAACAACATAAACTGATGAACAAAAATAGAACCAGAGACATAGAAGCATCGAACAGACAGACAAACCTAAGAGGGAAGGCAGGAGATGGGGGTAAGAGGTCAACCAAAGGACTTATATGCATGCATGTGAGCATAACCAATGGACAGAGACAGTAGCGGGGGTGAGGGCATGTGCTCGGGGGTGGGAGTGGCCGGGGAGAGGTCAATGGGGGAAAAAGGAGACTTACGTAATACTTTAAAAAATAGAGAACTTAGCCCTAGCTGGTTTGGCTCAGTGGATAGAGCGTTGGCCTGTGGACTGAAGGGTCCCAGGTTCGATTCTAGTCAAGGGCACATGCCTGGGTTGCGGGCTCGATCCCCAGTAGGGGGCAGTGCTCGGGGGTGGGAGCGGCCGGGGAGAGGTCAATGGGGGAAAAAGGAGACTTATGTAATACTTTAAAAAATAGAGAACTTAGCCCTAGCTGGTTTGGCTCAGTGGATAGAGCGTTGGCCTGTGGACTGAAGGGTCCCAGGTTCGATTCTAGTCAAGGGCACATGCCTGGGTTGCGGGCTCGATCCCCAGTAGGGGGCATGCAGGAGGCAGCCGATCAATGATTCTCTCTCATCACTGATGTTTCTATCTCTCTCTCCCTCTCCTTTCCTCTCAGAAATCAATAAAAATATTTTTTTAAAAAAAATAGAGAACTTAAATAAATAAAAGGTAATATTTGAATCGAGATACAAAGCAAATGAAATAATAAGCCTTACAAATTTCTAGGCATCAAATGAATTATTTTATATCAGGCAGAGGATAAAACAGTTTTAATGGCCCTTTGGAAGAAGTAAGGTGGTCAGTTTGGCTGGAGCAGAATGAGCTGGGAGAAAGAAGAAAATGAGGCCAACTGGCTAGCTGGGACCCGTAGGATCAGATGAACCACTGGATGTTGTTCAGTTTTTACGCTAGGAGTTATGGGAAACCAGAGAAGAATTTGAGACAAGGAGTGACATAATGTAACTTGTATCTTAATGTCACTTTGGTTGTTGTGTTGAAAATAAAAAGTAGAGAGCAAGGATGAAAGTGGGCACATCAGTGATGAGAAGTGAACTGATTTTAAAGATAGAGCTAACAGGGTTATTTGATGTTGAAGTTTATCTTGTAAGAGAAACAAAGAAGTCAAAGATGACTTTATGAGTTTTGACGGAAGCATCTGGAAAATAATATTAGCACATTATAAAATGGAGAACATTAGGTGTAGGAGAAAATCAGAATCAGTTTAGGATATGTTCAATTTGAGATGTATGTTAGACATATAAGTGAAAATGTCACAATATACAGTACTGGAAAGCAGTTTACTAGCCAAGTGAAGAAAACATTGCCTCCAAAAAAGAGAGTTATCAATTGGGTTTAATATTCAGGTAGGTTTACTATGGAGAAAACTTGAAACTTTAGGGATGAATTTAAGCAATATGAAAGCAACTGATGACCTTGATAGAGGGTGAGTTGTTGGGATAAAAGCCTAAATGGAGTTGGTTCAAGAGATAAAGAGAGGGGAGAAATTAACAAGAGTAAAGGTAGACAATTCTTAAAAGGAATTTTTATTCTAAACCAGAGGAGAGTAATGGAGGCATTAGCTAGAGTGAAGTCGAGAGATCTAGAACATGCAAAGCAAAAGAAAATATGACTAAACCAAGAAAATACATATTTTAGTGTTAAAAATTAGAAATCCCAAAGTTAATAGTAATGGAATAGCAGGAGATAAATAGGAATAAAGTCATCACTGTGTAGCATCCTGTGAGCCAATAGATTGGTAGCATGTTGACCAAAGTGAAATACAGCAAGAAGTATGAGCATGAAGAAAAAGGGCATTGTATTTATCAAAAATGAGGTCATTAACAGAAAAAGCATCAGAATATATAAGAAATGTGGACATATATTTTTTAAGTATCTTTTTCATTCATTTATTGTTTTTAATGTTTCATGAACTTTTCTAGTCATTTGGACAATATATAAAAGTGAAAAACAAAAACCTACTCTGGTAGACACAGACTCTAATAGTAAGAGATGAATTTTTCCTTAAAAAACTGTTAAAATGTGCCATAGCCCCCCACAATCTCTGATTCCTATAATTCACAGCCTTATGTAATTCCTTCCCCTTGAGTGTAGACTCCATTTAATAATTTGCTTCTGACCAAAATAATGTGGCAAAGTTGATAGAATATCATTTCCACCATTAGATTACAAGAGATTTTGACTTCTGTCTTGTTAGTAGACTCTCTTGCCTGCTCAGCTTGCTGTGTGCTTTGAAAAAGCAAGCTGTCCTGCTGGAGAAGCCCATGTGGCAGGTAACTGAGAGTGCTCTGACCAACAGCCCTGGAGGAACTGAACCCACCAATAACCATGTACATGAGCCAAGCCTTCAGATGTGACCCCAATTCTGGCTCAAACTCTGATTGTAACCTTTTGAGATCTTCCGAGTTAGGGGACTCTGCTAGGTTCCTGACTCACAAAAACATGAGGTAATAATGTGTGCTGTTTTAAGTTGCTGAGTTTTGGGGTAAATTCACTTTGTAGCAGTAGGTAAAGAATACAGTCTTGGAGTGAAGGAATCACTTACCAATTGTTCCAATGGAGGAATAACATCGTTCAAGACATGCTGTGAATGATTCCTTCTGTGTCGGGATATCTGCAAAAGTATTGACATTTGATGCTATTATTTTTTTCTTTTAAAAAGCTACAAATGATTTCAAAGAATATAAATTAGTGAGTGTACATGAAAACAACCATATTCAGATTCATTCAAGAAGGTAAATAAATTAAATATAACATAGGAAGTAAATCTTTTGAGACTGACTAATTTGAATAAAATGTGTACTCAAAGATGGTTGGCTGCAATATTTCATATTCCACATTCTCTGTCTACCATGTAACTTCCTACAAGTTGTGGGGTCTATGTTCTTCATTTTGAACCTAGGAAGATGTCTATGTCTTGAGGTTTAGGAGAAAAAATGATGACATATATTAATGATAAAATATTTTTCATTGACATAGTTATTTAACTATATGAAATCTGGAAAAAAACCACAAACATAATAAGTGCATGACTGAAGTTTGGTAAACAAATTTTAATGAGAAGAAATTGAAACAGAAATAACCAGTTATTGAGCACACACATTTCACCCTTGAAGGAAACCATTAGTTCCATGGTATAAACAAAATTCAAATTGATAAATGATATGATAATATTGTCTGCTATCATTTCTTGAGTACTTATTATTTGCCAGGCACTATTCTAAGTGTTTTGCATTCATTAATATATATTATTCTCATCCAAACCTTAAGAGGTCAGTTATATTACCCTCTTTTCATAAGTGTTAGAAACACAGACACAGATGGTTTTAAGTAACTCTAAAAAAACCTCAGTTAGTGATAAATATGGGTAATATTTTAACATGGATCTAAGCCCTCAATAAAGTGCAATATTTGATTTCAATTTATTATTTCTCCAACAATATAAATGTATATGTATAAAGACAGGCATTAAATGCTTAGGGAACTATAAAGTTGAAATCCCTGTGTGCATAAATAGATATCTGAGATAGGAATTTGAAGAGAGTCAAACTTATAAATTTGTACATAGTTACACAGGAAGCTAGAAATCGGGTTTCAAATCTGTTATAAATCATCTTAATATTCCTTTAGGGGAAGTAATATTGCTGATAATTCCTAAATCAATAAGCTAGCCAATCTATCATGTTCAACCTGGTTATGAAGATGGGGGGAGGGATGGGAGTGCAGAAGAAATTTCATCACCTGTCTTTTGCTTTACTGCTCTTCTCAGTTAAGTATTAGGCACAGAAATATGTTATTATCCCAAATCAGATTATGTTGACTGAGACTTATGATTTAGGAAATTCTGGATCCAAATTGTTCAGTTGTCTTGCATGGTTATCAGGAAAATTAGGATGTTTTAAGAGAGCTGTCTGTACATGATGATATACTTAACTGAAATAATTATAAAGAAACTTGAGGTCAACCAAGTTTTGATTGAAGTCTGATTCAAATAATATATGTATACATATATAAATATTATAGAATTCATATAATTATTTATAAATAACTTATTAGTGCTATCTGGTAATTTTACAAATCATTATGTGGCACATTCTTGAGGAACATTCCCATTTAAGACATTATATGTCCTTATAAACCATTCAATTTAGCCAGTCAACACTTCATGTACAGTACACTCATTTGCTGGTCATTTCTAATAGTAGGTGCTCAAAATGCACTTCCTTTGTTAAAATTATAAAATATCTCTACTACTAGTATTGCAAAGAGGGTATTTTATTTTGGATGGTCCTACGTTTTTCTCCAGAATTTTATAACTTCTAAATGTATCTGATATCAAAAACCTACATTTTGTTCTGCAAATTTCTTCTGGATAAGTTTCAAAATGCAGGCAGAAGTGTGATCCATTGTATGATCTTAGGTGCTTTCACTTTTGCAGGAATCATTAATTAATCCCTGAATTTGGAAAACTTGAATAACAGTAATAATATTAACAGTAGCTTGATATAACTTTATTTAAATACACTAGAGGCCCGGTGCACAAAAATTTGTG